CACACCTGTGCGATCATGTGCAAGCGTGCGGGCAAGACGCAGGTCGAGATCTGGAGCTTCAGGCCGAACGGCGTCGAGGCGAAGGACTGAGCGTCATCGCGTCGAGAGGTTATAGTTTTATGGACTTCCGGCTTCCGGACTGTGTCTTTCGGTTTGTGGATTGTCGCTTCGGCTTTAACTGTTCCTGGACTCGCTCATGCTCTATCACTCATTTCTGGTCTGCTTCTGTAGCAATAATACTTAATAATGTAATGGCGTGCACTCTCCGTTGTGGACCTTATAATCAGTTCCATTGAAAGATCTTGCTACGTAACATGGGCCGGCCCCAGCTAGTATACAAACTCGAGGTAATGATACAGACAACGCATGCAATGACAGAAGGCAAACTCTACTCTCAATTTTATCACAGAAAAAACCTGAAGGTCGTCCCCAATGAGATATCTGGTCTCTTGGTGAGTCAGGAGGTAAATGACCGCTACAGTTGGAGACAGTCTGCAGTTAATTCCGCATAAAATATAGAAGTCGAGTTTGTCATTTGTGTAAATGGTTGCGGGGAATCCTATTGTTACAGTATGGAAAGAGAGAGGGTTGTTGAGAGTCATGAATGAGCGGAGACTGCTTAAAGCGCGCGCTTGGCGTTATGAGACGGGGTATAGTTGCCTCGCATGGCGTCGTTGTACGATGGCGGCGGATCGTGGACGTTGGGCGATCCAGAGAACGACGGTTGAGCTTCTGGCGGTGCCGAAGATGCTTGCTGGGGGGTCGGTCGGTTTGTGGCGTTCGGCGCAGAGCGCTGGCGGGCGTGACCCCTCGCAGGACGAGGCGGAGCAGTCTGCTCGACCTTCAGTATCAGCATCAGAATAAAGTACCCAAGCCGATGAAACGTACCGAGCTTCTGTGATGGCTGGAGTACGCCTGCGCACCGGACGTCGCGGGCTGCGGCTTGCCCGCGCTCGCGGCGAACTGGCCCTCGAGTAGCCGAAACGCGGTGTTCAAGTCCTGGGCCGTCACGACGACCGGCTGTGGCGAAGCCTTCTGCTGGTACCCGCCAACGATGCAACGGAGCGTCACGCGCCAAAGCATAGCGCCGGCGTCGCCGTTTGTGCCCGTCGCGCGCACGTACTCGGCCTCGACGAGCGGGCGGTAATCGCGATACCCACGCTCGCCGACGGCCTCGTCCAGGAGCGCGTCGATGCGATGCATGTCGAAGAGTGTGTGGCTGTACCGACATCCGCGGCCGAGACGGCATGTGCCGGCGACGTGCAGCTTGCAGAGTGTGCGGCGCGCGGGGTCGGGCTGGTACGTGGCGGACGAGACGTCAGCGTGCAAAGCGCAGGAGAGACAAAAAGGGTAGTACTAACGGGGTAGCTCCGGCCAAAGACCCGTCGCTCCAGGGCGTCGATCGCGACTCCCGCCTCGCGTCCCTGGCCCTTCACTGGGTACACCGGCTGCACACTCACGCTGCCTCCGAGCCCGTCTGTGCCGAGTCCTGCCTCGCAAAGCGTTGCCCGCCCGCCTGCGAGCAGCCGCATCCTCCATTTGTGCTCGTCCGGATCTGCGCCGTCCAGGATGGTCGAGTACTTGGTGTATTCGACCAGGAAGTGCACTTTCTCGTCCGCCGAACTGGGCGGGAGTTCGCCCACGAGCGCAGCAATGCGCGCGGTGTCAAGGAGTGTATGGCTATATTGGCATGCTCCACGGTTGCAGACGCCGTCCGTGGCGAAGTTCCTGCATATGCAGTATTGGCGGGTGTATTTGGCGTCAGGAGGCATGACTGGAACGGTTCAAAGTACGGCGACGGAAAATGAGAGGTAGGGGACGAGGCAAGCCAAGGAGAATAGTTTAAAGAGGGTTAGCAGATGCGGCAGATAACAGACAGGAGAGTCGGGTCCGGTGTATGTGCATTCCAGGGCTGTTCGAGCTGTGCGCCGTGCGGTCGTTGACAGGTGCCTTGCACGTGCAGCCGGAGACGCTAGCTGCACTCGCCGCCGCCGAGAGCGTATCTGACGGCGCAGGAGAGTGAGACGAGCGCAAGACAAGACTGCAGTGTACGTCGATGTCTGAGAGGAAGTAGGCAATAGGGTCGAGTTGTGGTTCGGTTCATGGCCGTCGACTGAGGCCAAAAACGGTAGGCGCCCAAAGACCCTCATCCGGCCAATGCAATATTGCGTCCTCCACCGCTTTTTTCAAAGAATACAAAGCAGCCGCTACGCTACGTATGCCACCGAGTCCCAAGCCGACGTGCCACTAGACACAGGCTGCGTTTTGCCGACGTCGGGCAGCACCGCACATAAATATATCACAGGCAAGCTGATTGTTACCACAGAATATCTGCAAACCACTCCCCTACACCAGTATTATATTCCTAGTGATGCGTCCGACATACTAAACTCGAGAGTCGTGCAGTTATCTCCTAAACACAAAACATACAACAGCATATGAGAGCTAGAGCGGGAGCGCCGCCTGCATATACGGCTGCGCACAGGGCGGCAAGAATGGCTAAGCCAGCGAGACCTTGGAGGACCGAAACGCACGCCGCAACGAAGGCTTCCCCAGCCTCTGCAAGAGCCTGCCATATGGTAGGCCAAAATATAACGCCGGCAGCAGTTAAGGGCAGTAGCAGGAAAAAGATGACGCATGCTATCGCCACGATTGCTGCTTCATTCTGATCCCGGCGCCGCGAATGGGAGTGGGTACAGGACGAAGTGTAGGTGGCGGTGGCGGCGTACGAGGGTCTGGCGGTCACCGGCGGTGGCAAGCACGTCACGCTCTGCTGCACGTAGTTGGACGCGTGCATCGACGGCGTGCGTACTCCCACCGAACTGTACGACGTTGCCCCGTATTGAGGCTGTCGAGAGCTCGCGACGGTACGACTCGGAGGTGGCTTCGCAGGGAGACTGACGCGAGTAGTTGCAGACGTCGTTAGATGCGCATGATTAGACGTCGAAGCGGAGCTAGTCGAGGAATAGCTGGATGGTGACGGAGAAGCCGGACCAGCGTTGACCTTGACATCGACTTTCACCACCGCAGTCGGCGGCTTGGTGAGCTGATTCACAAACGGTGCAGGGGTGGAGGGAGACGCCATAGGCGAAGTCGTCGTTGTCTTGACACCAACGTCGACTTTGACAACCGCCGATGATGTCGTGATGGTGTGGCTAGAGCGCACTTCGGAAGTGGAAGAGGGTCCAGCTGGCCCAGTCGCGCTCGCTTTCACCTTGACATTGACCTCAAAGGCAGAGGACTTCGCAAGGCCATTTGTGGAGCTCTGCTGGGCAGAATTAGTGGACGCTGAAGTAGATGACCGCGAGGTCGAAGACGGGGACACAACGGAATGATAACTCGGAGTCGGAGCTGCTGACGCGAGGAGCCTCGAAGATTCTTTAGACGCCCCTTGCGAGGCCGTTCGTGAAGCCGCTGAGCCACGAGATGGACCCGAACCAGCAATTTCGGAATAGGGAGGAGGGGCTTCCCGATGCGTTGAGCTCGATGGCCTTGCTGTCGTCATCGCGGGACTTCGATACTGCTGGCTAGGAACTGTGCGGGCCTAGCTTAACACACATCAGTGACGGCGAAGAAAATTGATACAGGGCTTATCCTACCGAGGCATTGAGAATAGATCTCAAGTACGTTACGAGCTGTCCCATGACGGTCGCGAGATGATCGCCGGCAGTGATGGGTTCGCTAAGCATGTCTGAATTCAACTGAGAGACCATCCAGAAGAAGTTGGGGCTGTCATGTTTCCCATAGGAGATGTAGGTCGGCGATCGGAGAGCGCGCGGTCTCTGGCCGTACTCCCGCAGAAGGCGTTCGACAACGGTAATATCAATCAAGTCGTGGCTGTTGCGGCATTGACAATCCTTCTGGCAGCTGTTATCGGCCATACTCTTGCAGAGGGTAGCCTTGGGATCACCAGGCTTCCATGGAACCTAATACCACGAGTCATATTTAGCTTTGAGCAGGCTACAAACGACGACAAACCGGAGCAACGCGGCCAAAAATGCTCTTCTCAAGCTCCTTCACCGCCTCGAGAAGGCTGGTCGCTTTTGCCACCTTGGGATTGTATACTCCTGCGTTGACGTTGTATACCTTGTCGTCGAGAGTGATGCGTTCGACGTTGCGTAGATTGATCGTCCACTCCCCTGGGCCTCCACCAATAGCGCGGAACTCCATTGTGATAGAAGCCGATTCGTATGGTCGCGCCCGTGCATTCACATTGTGCGGGGCGTCGCGAACAAGCTGCAGCAACCGAGTCGGGTCGATCAGTGTGTGGCTGAACGAGCAGGCTTGACGATTGCATTGCCCTCGAGCGAAGGCGAGACACATCGAACGCCGGGAGTAGTCAGCATCCCGCGCAGGACGAGACATGATGGTACCCCTCTGGTTCAAGATGGTGGGCGAACGGAGGTAAGGATGTCGGCTGTGCTCGCCTCACTCGCTGCATGATGCTTGGTATTTGGCAAGCGTGCGAATGAACCTAAATCTACGAGCGGCTGTGGGCACCGCCTGCCAGAGCTCTTCATATGCTGCAATCTTAAAAACATGCAATGACAGAGTTTCCGAACGTCAAGGTATAGGAAACAGCACATGAAAGTACACACAATAGCGATACAAACATTGGCAAGACGGGATTGCGAGCATTCGATAGAGCAGCAATGACTGATGTCGCTTCAGTGTTTCCTATACAAATATTGTGACAGATAAGGCGATAAACGCACAGCGTGCTATATGGACGCTTCTGGTTATGCCACCAGCTTGAAGTGCTCGGCGAAGATCTCTGCGACCTCTTCTGCTGCACCCCATGATCCTTGATAACCTGCAGCGCTAGGAAAGGGGCGGTTCAGTCGTGTTCGTTCAAACCAGATAGCCAACCACTCACCCAAACCCGTACGCATGGATGACCAAGAAGTCGTATTTCTCGGCGCCCTCAGCAGGCGGCGGCAGGAACTCGCTTTCCAACGGAAGACTATACCACTGTGCCTCGATCCTCGCGCCCCCTCTCCTTGCCGGGCGCAGCCCGACATTATGCCCAAGAATCCTGGTCTCCGGATCGTTCAACGCGGGAGCAAGCTGCAAACAGCGCCTCCAGATGTCGCGGGCGGTGTCAAAGTCGACCGAGAGGTTCCAGTTGTCCTCCTGGAAGGTGCCGCCGAGAAGAACGTGCCCGTGCGGCGCGGGGCGCGGGATCATGTATGTTGCCTCGCCCGTAGGGACGCTGCTCAACCCGAGCGGGTGCGCCAGGAACTCCTGCACACCCGGCGCGTACGCGAGAATCGTCTGTCCGCGGATGGGGTACACGGCGGTGTCTTCGACGCCGATGAGCGAGCGTGCGCCGAGCGCCGTGGCGTTGATTACGACGCCTTGTGGGCCAGCGATCTCGGCTGCCTCCTGGATTGAGTACAGCCTCTTGCGGAGGAAGATCACGCCCCGTGCATTTAATTCGTTCCTCAGCCAGAGGAGGTAGAGCTGTGGGTTCAGAGAGACGGTTGTAAACGCGACTCCCGCGACTGCGCCAGAGGGGACTTCTTCCTCATCCAAAATACGGAACTAAGCCAAAATTAGTGAGGCTCGGAGAGGTGAAAGAATAGAATTACATCGCGGACTATATCTTTATACCAAAACTTAGCATCGTTAACAGGCTCAGCGTAGCAGATGCGCGAAGGCAGGGTCTGAGAGCAGCACGCTCAGAGGGCGCACAACGCTGTACTCGTCATCTGACGTACTCGGATCAGACCAGACGAGATCATATCCCATAGCTTGTTACTGTATTTTCATTGGTCGACTATTCTTAACGGAAGCGATATGCAAAACACGCACAAAGTGATCAGCTCGCGTTTGTACTTCTTCTCCTCGTAGCCACCGATAGGCGACCAATTTGCGCCCTAAGAGACGAAGCTTCGGTGATTGGGAACATTCATAAACAGTGCGCTCGACTCACAGCCCAAGGACTGGCCCAAGCCTGTGAGTTTAGGTCCACATCCTCGGGTAGGTCTCGCGCGACCACCGTGAACTTGTACGACGGATACTTCTCTGAGAGGACGTGGGCAGTCGAAAGTCCGATGACGCCTGCGCCGAGGATGACGACGTGCGGCACACTTTCGTCTGTTTGAGACATCTCTTCAGGGCAAGGTTGCGACAAGCTCGTATGCGAAAGAGTCGTATTCGAGGCACACACTATCGTCAGGCCATCGTAATCAGTGCGACAATGTCATTTCCACAGTCCGGTGTGTGGAAGAGATAAGATAAAATGAGAGTCCACACAGCCCGGCGATCGCCTTGACGATCATTGATCGAACAACCGGATGCGGCAGGTGCTATGCTTTAACGGCGACTCTCAATTTCGGGTTGCCTTGCGATGTCGGTGCGGCCTGCGCCTGGGAAGAATGTTGACTCAGGCCCTGAACAAGGCGTTCTATCGCGTTTGTTTAGGCGACATGCTGAAGGCAGGTGTTTCGGATACTGCACCTAGATAGAGCTTATTGACAAATATGTCGCAAATTTTTTCCCAAAATCATGATGCATCAATAGCGATCTTTTCTCTCACAAGCCTCGTTAGGACATCGTGATGTACATCACGACACGAAATTTGCCTCATGAGGGCCTCACGTGAGGCAGTTTTGATACAATTTTGATGCAATCTTGGGGCGTCTCCCTCATGAGGGTAAACGGAAATTTGCGACATATTGACATGGCTACAACTGCAACGGTTGTGCTCATTAGGGGGATCTGCGCATATCTCATGCAGATGAGTAGCGCAGCTGTCTAGGTTTCTATGTTGCTAGTCAGCCAATGTTATGTGGGAGGAGTCTCGAGGTCAGTCTTTCCTGAGCTTTATCAGTGCTGGTGTGTTGTTTAAGCGTTTGAGACTTTCACGCGGTGGTGTTCATAGTTTGCTTCTAAGCGTGTCCTTACTGCAAGCCGTCCTACAACGTGCCGTCTGCGCTTTGCACGGCTTAAGAGTTCTGCACTCCTCGAGGATGAGCAGACCTTCACACCCACACACCCTCTGTTGCCCTTGCGATACCTCGTATCTCCTGCACGTCCTCACACATCACGCTAGTATTAATCCAACCGTCATATCGAGGCACAATGGCACCTCACATCAAGTTCACTTCCTTTGGCATTCCCTACCTCGCCAACATCACTTTCCGACGAAAGAAACGTAGTTCCAAGTCCGTATACTCAAACGCGGAGTTCTCGGACAGCGACTGGACGTTCGCCTCAGCTTCGTCTGACACACTCGCATATCCCGCTATAGACAAGTCCCACATCGAGGAACAGGGCCTGTACGTCTGTTTTGCGGCGTATGCAGATCTACCTCCGCGGCCGCTCTCGCCTACGCGGGCCATGCGTCTGAAACATCGCATCGCAAGCGCAGTTGTCAGGGCGGGGATGGGTTACGCAGGGGATGCAGAGGCAGCGGACCCGATTGACTGCGCATTGAGGGAACGAGGCGCATTGCCACCAGTGCCCGTCAGCACACTGTACACGGGCACGTATGGGCAGGTTTGGGATGCTTTTGAAGCTGCAGGCTTGGTTGCCAGGACATGCGACGAGGCTGGGTTCCCGAACGGTAGGACATCATTTTGCCTTTCCCACTGGTGCGGTGGCTCACCTTCTCAGCCACACGACTAGGTACAATGTTTGTCGTGAGACATACACCTGTGAGGTCTATACAACTCGTCAAGCTCACTTTATGGGCATGATATGGTGCGTCATATCGGACTAGCACGGTCATATTTCTCTGAATGATGTCTAGACTTTTCTGTCTCTAGCGCGAGTCCGCTTCCTCAATAAAAGACACAGCAGTGCTGCAAACCAATGTTGTATTATAAGATCTGTCAGTCCTGTATCTTTATTATGTAATTCTATGCCCGCCCGTATGCAATAGATATTGCGCAAGAATGTCGTAGGCTCGATACCAGCCACCCTGGCCATAATAATGGCCAGGGCGGTTAGAAGCACTGCATGAATCTCATATTTCGCATTCGTTGTCCTTTCGACGGTATAAATTAGGGATGTACAATATGTAACATGATCCAATGATACAGGGATGAAGTGAATGTACGTTACCTAGGTAATGAGGATATCTATATCTCCGGAATACAATGCGAGTCGAACAATCCATTAGCATGCGTTGAGGGCCAAAACGTCAAACTCTAGAATCCCTCCTTTCCGAGGTCCCACTCTCTCACCGCGCCTCGCTTCTTGTACGCAATCGCCATGATATCCGTGACTTCGCTCGTCCCGCGGCTGTTCTTATCCTCCTTCAGCTTCTCCTTCCCAACACCCATCCGCTCGAGTCGCTTCTTATCCTCCTTGTCCTCGCGCCGGCGGCGGATGACCTCAAGCATCGCGTCCCAGCCAGCAAAGTCCGCGTCGTCGATGAGGCCCGTCGCTGGGACACTTGGCATGGCTAGCGGCGCGACGTCGAGGCGCGGGTCGTATGAATCTTCGAAGTACTTGTCCATCTTCGATGGCAGGTGCGCTGGGAGCGGCGGAGGGGAGGTCGGCGGCGGCGGAGGCGCCTCGCGTGCCTTCTCGCGTTTGCGCTTTGAGCGCGAGGACTTTTCGTGGGAGGGAGATGACGGCCGGGGTCCCGGGGAGGGCGAGTATTTATGCGGTGTGCGAGAGGATGAGGGGCTCCTGTCTGTAAGGCCTTTGGCTCGTGAAGAGGGGGCACGAGGTCGTGAGGCCAGGCTGGCACGCAGTTGAGCGACCTTGTCGTCGAATTGGCGGCGGAGTACTTCTTCCTCTGCTTCCTTCGCAGGATCCTTCGGGGTTTCTGATGCGCCGTTGATCTCCTCGGGGCGCGACTGGGGTTCGTCTGACTCACGCAAAGGTACACGATCGCGAGAAGTCGAACGAGGCCGCTTGCGAGGAGAGTCTTCGTAGTCATCCTCTCGCTTCCTCCTGCGCGCGTCTGATCTATCTTCTGAGACGACACTGTTGGACCCAGACTTCAGTGAGGGGGATCGCTTTCGTCGTGTTCGGGTTCTAGCCTCATCTTCTTCCCTGTCCAATGGGCCTGCAGGCGAGGATGACCTTGTTCGTCTGCGTTCGTGATGTCGTCTACCCCTTCTACGTTCGCGGTCCGCATCATCTCTATGAGGGCGGTGGTGGCCACGGTCGCGACTCCGAGATCGCCTCAAACGTTCACTTCGATGTGTGTGGCGTCGCTCCTTGCGTTCGTCCTCGCCCTCGCCGTCAGAGTGGGTTTCCGGCCGCGGAGACCGACTACGCTCCCTGTGCCGTGTGTGTCTTCTACGGCGCTCAGAGTCGTCGTCTTCACCCGTCGGTGAGCGAGACCGATACCTATGTCGCCGTTCATTACGACGAGATTCTCGCTCCTTCCCCTTCCCCTTCCTATCCTCCATTTCGCTCCCGTCGTAGTCATCTCTCTGTTCCCAATCTCTTTCTCCCCTCTTCCTGTCACGACTATCTCGCTCGTCACCTTTGTCTCGCTTCCACTGCGTGCCACCCTTGCCCATAAGGCGGCGGAGCCGTTCTGCATCTACTGCTTCTTCCGCTCGAGCACGCCGTTCACGCCTCTCTTGCTCCAGCCGCTCCCTACGGACTTCTTCGGCAGCGACAGCCTGGGCGCGGAGGATAGTTTTGTTGTGCTCATCTGTGTTCTTGATGATGGACGTCAGGAAACGCTTGTTCGTCTTGGGGGCGTTACTCTCTGACCTAGGACCCGCTAAGTGCTGTACCGCCCCAAGCATGTTACCTCTGGGCTCACCAGGTGTTTCCGGGCAAATAAGCCTTGTAGCCTTCGGAACCATAGCGCTCCGCCTTTTGCTTTGCTTCCTTCAGGATGAGCTGCGCAACGTGGCGGTCGAGGTCTTCGTCGAGAACTGAGTCAGACACAGAGGAGCCCATAGATGCGCGGACGAGGTTAGACACCACGGACGACAGCGTAGATTTGGACATGCTGGGCCGTGGCGGTAGTGTGTAAAGTGATCGTGGTGCGGGCGGGAGTTAGCTTGATCGGGATGTTTAGGCGCTTCTCCAGAAGGGCGCATCAATCTCCAGGCCTACAATCTTTTTGGTCCTCCTGAATCCGACCACTCCGACTTGTATCTGACCGCTAATAAGCATATCTCCCATAATTGGCATTTATTATCAGAACATCTTGTACGGTTATCGCCGCAGGGGGTTAGAATGAACGGCTCGATCACGCTCCTTACAAACATAAAACTTCGCTGCAGCCTGAGCGAATCAAGCCCCAGCATCTCCAGCAGAGCACCTTCAGTCCTTACTGACTGCGCCATTGGCAGAATAACCTCGCTAGCTGATGTACATCGGTGAGTGTCGAAGTGTGTGCGCGCGATGTGCGGCTTACAGCTGCCGCTTTAAAGTTTAATATAATATACATGCGGCAACCACGATGCCTCTAGCGATATGCTGGAAGGAGACTCATCTTCGTCTCGTAGTCCATCGTCACATACAACCACTATGCCATCGAACTCCGGGGGCCGTGCTGGGCGCACGATTTGCTCTGCCACGGCAAAGCTCGAGACATGCCATCAACTTCGCAGTTGCAGGAACAATCACTCTCTCGTCGATTCCGCCTTCCTCGAGCATGTTATTCGTTCTTCACGCTCAAGGAACCCCCTTTGCGACGGAACTATTGCCATCGAGTACTCCAAGGAATCGCAAACAGCTCCTTGGATTGTGCGGTTCTCGTTGGCTCTCCCAGATGGGCCGACTGTACTGGCGCACAAGGGAGGCCCGACCCTGATATTCGCGCTTAGGTCCTTACTAGTGGATGACTCTCCCACCAATAATCCAGTACGTCGAAACTGTATCACAATCCACGAGTACTCAACTGCGATCAGGTGCAAACCTGGACGACTCATTCAAGGACCCTTTGTCACGCTCATATGAACAACACCTGCCCAGCAGGTGTGGCGTGCAATCTTAGTCATAGTCTTTTTGATCCCCAAATGATTGTTGACTTGATTGCTCGCCATGGCTACCCCGGGCGGACGTTCACCATGTCATACACGGACAGCGCAGACCTGGTGCTCGGTCGCAAATGGCAGCTGCTCATGACCACTGAAGAGCTCAACATGAATGTTACTCGACCATGGAGAGAAGTTTCGGTCGTTGATGCGAACCTCAACGCTGCCTTTCGTCTTCTCGAGGGCAACGTCGTCTCGAGAGTGCCGCTGCCACCCCAGTATGACTCCACAGTAAGTTTAACAGTATATGCAATCCATGGTTCTGGCTGATTCTGTGCACAGCGCAATGCGACAAGAGAGACATCCTACACTAGCCGTAAGCCATCGGCTGGTTTGCTCTGTTTCTTCAACTGAAGATGTTGTTCAGGGATCATCGTTGACCCGGATTTGCCTCCTGCGTATAGCCCTGCAGTAGGTAGTGCGGCGCCAGCACCATCCCGTATCACGATCCAGAGGCTTCAAGCAGTGCCAACCTCTGACAGCTCGACTCGAACTCGCGAGATACCTCCAGCATACATCGATGTTATGGGTGGGGACATCGATGTCATTAACGATGACGATTATATTAGCCTGCCTTCGCCATCGGATTCGCCACCTATCGGAGTTCGCACCAGGAGAGATTTTGCGCAGCGCTCACTCAGCCCTTCTCAACTACCCCTTCCGCCTCATCCCTACTACAACCGCCGACTATACGACGATCGACCGGGCGAGTTCCCTTGGACTGCTTGGGAGATGTTTTACTGGCTCTCCCATGCTCAGCCGCCCAGGAGCCGACATAACCGCTTAAACTCTACGTATAGCCTTGGCTTGCCGCCTGCTCCACCGGTTGTCAGCCCCGATGGCTGGGATAGGCTGGACGAGCTGGACAGTCTCGAGATTTTAAGCGGCCTAGGGAAGGTAGCTGTGAGAGTTACACAGCGTTTAGGGCAGCGCTTGATGCAACATTTCCTCACTTGGCGTACTCGACCTCCAACCGATGGCAGGGACCTCAATATCGCGGTCTTCAGTGCTTTGCAGCAAGTAGATCGTAGGCTGCCATACCACCATTTGTCCGCTAATTTTGACAACTGCGGGTACAGTGGCTCGACTATCTTGTATGGAATTGCCTTACCGGCGCTGTTGTGGTGGATCGACGGGTGGCTCCTGCGAGATTCTATCTTCTCGCTTATCCGTTTGTTCTCCTGGCTCTTCTTTTCCTATGTTTATCCTCCGATCATTCCCTGCTTCCTTGTCGCATCACTCACGCATTCGCGATTCTTGACATCAGTCGTCCTCTGTGGTTTGCACCCCGCGGCGACGCAGTACGTATTTTTCAACTACATCACACGCGGATGGGTGTACTCCACCTTCGTATATGTTGCTCACATGCAGATAGGACTCTTCATTTATTACGCTATCCTTCGTTTCCTAGGACATCCCTTGTACATGGCAGTATTCATGCGTGGACTCACTGCTGGTGTACTCTAGGCTTGGGAAAGGATAACCTCGTCTGGACTGCTCCCTTATTAATCAATTGATTCAAGTTCTTGCTCCCCTCCCATCCGACCTGCCGTTTCGCTCGCATGGTTCACAAAACTTTTAATTTAACCAGCCATTCTTCTTGTAGAGGAGTTCGAGCACACGAGAGAATGAGGGGAATTGGCTGATTTTCTTTTAATTGTACGAGGCGTACAACGTGTATATATACACGATGAATACAAAGGAGGCGTGTGCCACTGCGTCACAGACAAAAGGGGGTGGCACCAAAAGCACGCACCATACGGCCACAAACGATATGACATGAGCCTCTCGTTTGTCGGGTGCGCCAAACGTGAACTACGACACTCCCCCTCAACGAGCACGAAGCCCGATTCGAGCGAGTTGCCTCTCGTGCGCGGGACGAGTCAGGGCCTTGGTGAAAAGGTCGGCCTGATTGTCTTCAGATGCGCAGTAGGTGACCGTAATCTCGTTGGAGATTATGCGTTCGCGAGTGAAATGATACCGCACGTCGATGTGCTTGGAGCGCTTGTGGAATTGATTGTTTTGCGAGAATGCGATGGCGGCCTGGTTGTCGCCGAGAAGGGGTGTCGGGCCGTCCGAGAGTAGTCCCAGG